GAAGCACAAGCTGGAATCAAGATTGCCAGGAGAAATATCAATAACCTCAGATATGCAGATGACACCACCCTTATGGCAGAACGCAAAGAGGAAGTAAAGAGCATCTTGATGAAAGTGAAAGAGGAGAGTGAAAAAGCTGGGTTAAAACTCAACATTCAAAAAACAAAGATCATGGCATCCGGTCCCATCACTTCATGGAAAATAGATGAGGAAACGAAACAGTGACAGACTATTTTCTTGGGCTCAAAAATCACTGCAGATGGTGACTGCAGCCATGAAATTAAAAGACGCTTGCTCTTTGGAGGAAAAGTTATAACCAACCTAGACAGCATATTGAAAGGCAGAGATATTACTTTGCCGACAAAGTAGTAAGTCAAAGCTATGGTTTTTCTAGTAGTCATGTATGGATATGAGAGTTGGACTATAAAGAAAGCTGAGTGCCAAAGACTTGATGCTTATGAACTGTAGTGTTGAGGACTCTTGAGAGTCCCTTAGACTGCCAGATCCAACCAGTCCATCCTAAAGGAAATCAGTCCTGAATATTCATTGGAAGGATTGATGCTGAAGCTGAAACTCCATTAATTTGGCTACCTGGTGCGAAGATCTGACTCACTGGAAAAGACCCTGAATCTGGGAAAGATTGAAAGCAGGAGGAAAAGGGGTCAACAGAGGATGAGATGGTTGGATGGCATCACCAACTCTGTGGACATGAGTTTAAGCACGCTTAGGTAGTTGGTGATAGACAGGGAAGGCTGGTGTGCTACAGTTCATGGGGTCACAAAGAGTCGGACACGACTGACTGAATTGAACTTGGTGTGTTAGAACAGTGATTGTCAAATTGTGGTTATACTAGCATCACCTGGGGACTTGGTAGAGCTGTAAATTTGGGGGCTCTACCTCATATTTACTGTAACAAACTCTAGGGGTATGACCAGCAATCTGTTTTAGTAACCTTTTGGGTGATAGGTACTAAGGTTAGAGAGTCACTGGCTTACAGGGGATATCTTCTGATAAAATATTAAGCCCAAGTCTCTGTGGCAGAGCTTTAGTATTCTCAATTCTTGAGTACCTCAGGAAGTGTTAGTAGCTCCTTTATTTTAGTGTTCATAATATTTGAATATAATTCTGCTATAGCATCATTTACTGTGTGTTGCAAAAGATTTCCACTAAGTTGAAATCTTCAGTTTCAGTGATGAATTGATGAATAAAAATGAAACAGATAGTGCTTAGTCATCATCGTACTCAGCCCTGGTTGACAATTAAAAGACTCAAACACCCACAGACACAATGCAGGGACCACGTGTGCAAGAAAATAGGAGATGTATAATACAGGAGTCAGCAAGGTTTTGCTCCCAAGGGCCAAATACTAAATATTTTCTACTTTGTAGTACCTAGATCTCTGTTGCAACTACATTACCCTGCCACTGTATTAGGAAAGTGTCATCAATAATATATAAATGAATGGGTATGGCCAAATTTATCTCCCTGCTGGCAGGATTTGGCTCTTGGGCAGTAGTTTGTAGACCCTGTATACCAGTGCTACCTGAGAAAACTGTGCAAGGAATACAGATAACCGTTTTAAATCTTCACTGTCTTACATTGACAAAGAATGGACAGTAGTTAGGTATTAATTGTCTTATAATTCTACCTTGGGTAAAACCAGGATTATATGCAAATCATAATAGAATGCTAATGAGAGTTATGTTTCAGTTATAGTCTTACCTCAGCTCCCAGTGATGATGATAAAGTTTATTTACTTTTGGTTTCTGGTCTAACACATAAAGAGTTTGAAAGTCTTCATTCCTGTTGTCACAACAAGAATAAAAGAAGGGGAAGAGTAGCTGTTTTGAAATACGTCCAGAGCTCTCTGTTCTCTTTAACAAGACTTGCCTCAAGGGAAGCTTTTACCAGAGCTAACCACCTGAGACTTTGTTGTTGTTTAGTCCCTAAGTTGTGTCCAACTCTTTTGTGACCCCCATGGACTGTAGCCTGCCAGACTCCTCTGTCCATGGGATTTCCCAGGCAAGAATACTGAGTGGGTTGCTATTTCCTTCTCCAGGGGATCTACCTAATCCAGGGATTGAGCCCATGAGTCCTGCATTGGCAGGTGGATTCTTTACCACTGAGCCACTTACTAAAGGTTAATTGACCAGAGGGAAAGAAAATACCCAACTCTAGTCCCCTCTAGTCTTCCATATGGGAGAAGGGAAATAACCCCACTCAAGCCCACTAAAATACCTGAGACCTAATCATAGGCCAATAGAATCCGCCCCGCAATTTTACCACATCAGTAGTGCTTCTGTATAATAATGGGATTAAAGCTAAAACAACTGTAAGCCTCAGACCTTATTTAATAAGTACCTTATTATAGGTACTCTTAAAGACAACACGGGAGACAAAAACAAGTATGTTAGAGAAAATTTTAGCTTCAGACACCACAGCAGTGGCAAATTAATGCAATCTAACCTCTAGCCAGATGCACATAAAACCTCACAGTAAGGAGCTATCTCAGTTACTTTCACCAATATCATCATGTCTGTCTTTCAACAAAAAATTGTAAGGCATACTAAAAGGCAAAAGCCACTATCTGAAGAGGTAAACCAAGCATCAGAATCAGACTCTCACATGATACAGATTTTGGGATTATCAGACTGAATTTAAAAACACTAGATTAATATGCTAAGGGTGCTAATGGAAAAAGCGAACAGCATGCAAGAACATATGGGTAATGTAAGCAGAGAGGTGGAAACTCAAAGGAAGAACCAAAAGGAAATGCTAGAAGTCAAAAATACTGTAACAGAAATGGAGAATGCCTTTGATGGGTCCATCAGTAGACTGACTGGACATGACTGAGGAAAGAATCAGTGAGTGTGAAGATACATAAATAGAAATTTCCAAAACCAAGATGCAAAAAAAAAAAAACAAAAAAAAAAAACCAAGATGCAAGGTGGAAGAAAGAATAAAAAAAAGATGTAACAGAATATCTGAGACTGTGGGATGATTATGGAAAATGTAACGTGTAGTTGGAATACCAGAAGAAGAAAGAAAAAAAGGAACAGAAAAAAATATTTGAACTTTTTAATGGCAGAATTTTCCCAGTTAATGACAGGTACCATACCACAGATCCAGGAAGCTCAGAGTACCAAGCCAGATAAGTAACAAAAATATCTACACCTAATGAAAGTGAAAGTGAAAGTTGCTCAGTCATGTCCAACTCTGTGATCCCATAGACTGTACCCTCCATGGAATTCTCCAGACCAGAATACTGGAGTGG